GTCAAATATCCTACATTGCCTCCGGAAGTTAAAATGACTCACCTTGCCCCGGAAGTCAAAGTGACCATACTTTCAAGGGCACAGGTTCAATTAAGCCATTTATTTATTAAACATACTTCTTCTTCTTTTCTTTTTCTTTCGTAGGGTGAATTATTTATGAAATATCCAAGCTGCTAGCACTAAAATACATCCTCAATCACAGAAATTACACAAGAGGCTCAACTCAAACCTTTCGGTACTGATGAAGATGACTCCAAACAGGAGAAATGAGGACAATGAATTAATGAAGATAAAACAACCGCATATAACAAAAATAAATAAAATAAAAAAGGGTCCACAGATAATATAAATATCTGTGTGCATATTAACAATATTTGAACCTCAAAAATGGAAACATGTGGTCAAAATTATTTATGGGCTTTACCGTTTGTTGAACGCCGTTAATATAAATGGCTTGAGAACAAGTTGACTGCGACGGGCAAAGAGCAGCAGCAGTGACATCAACAAGGACCGAGACGGTCATTTCCTCAGCGATCCAGTGGACACACAGTGGGAACAGCAAGTGAAACAGGGGCCTCACCTCTCTCAAAACGCTCTCCATCCAACCCATATCAAAATAAATAGCTTCCAGAAAAACTATATATATTTATATATTTATAGAATGAGAAAGCAGCTAAGCTAGGTGAAGAAGAAGAAGAAGAAGAGAGCAATCTTGGCAGCTATTTATTTGTGACTCGGAAAACGGGGTCTGCCGTGAGCTTGAGGGTGCACATGGTGGCGTGTGGCTTGAGCTTGCTTGCTTGTGTTTTGTGGACACTAGGATGGGCTAAGCGAGTGTCATTTTCCCAAAATTTGTACAGCTTTTACTTTGTGATAAGAGCAATATTGAGAGATGGGAAATTTGAACCTACAATCTCCGTAATTGTTGAGACTGCATTTACTAAATTTGGACAAGAGTCCAGCTTATAAAGACTTTGAATTCAAGCTGAGCCACCCATCTAGACTTGGAGCATCTGTAATTATGTTCTCTATTTTTTAGTTAAAATTTAGCTAAAAATATATAAAAGCTATTTTAGAGCTCTTTATAAAATTTAAATTCCAATCATCTCCAGTTTAGGGAGTCGTAAATATTATGACTTTTTTAATTGGTAAATCTCTATTAAAAATAGTTAGTATCAATTAAATGTTTAAAATATTCATAAAATAAAGCAGCATTAAATTATAGGGAGCTACTATAAATGCTCTCTCTCCTCAGATTTAGGAGCTCCTAAAGGTCCCCTTATTTTAGGAGGTGGATAGGGAGGGAGCATGGTTGGAGTTCTATTTTCCCAATTGCTCCATTAAATTTGTCTAAGGAGGTGATTTAAGAAGCTCATTGTGGATGCTCTTAAGGTTTAGTTCTCCTGTTTTCCTTTCTTTCAAAATTTCTGAGCTAAACCTTAAGTTTAAAGTTCTAAAACATTGATTCTGTACCTTAAAATAATAATCCCTAAAATTTATGTCCTAAAGTATACTTAATCTTGTACTAATGAACTATTAACAACTGCTAATAAACCTTAAAATTAAACAACGAATACGACCAGCATTGTCACACCTTGGCCTGAATACCTAGAAACTAGGAAACAGTTGGACAAAATCAACTACAGTCAGCCACCAACCGAAAATTGCGTCTGGCTAAATCGGTGAAAAACGGACGTCGTCTTTTTCACACTAGTTTTCTCTCCTATGATTGAAGAAGAAAACAATAGAGTAAATGGCCAATCAAAGAGGAAAAGAAAAAGAAAAAAGACTCACTTTTTTTTAATAAAGCAGATGCATCATTTCATGCATATATTTATATAAGGAATGATAAAACAGCAATAGAAAAGGAGTGGATCACAAAGACAATATCCAATACAAATTGCATACATTTGAGAGAGTAAATAGAAAAAGAGGCAAATACACATTCACCAACAAGGCCCGCACACGCACAGTCGGCCACCACTCTCTCTCCCACAAAATTTTCATTCGAAAGGCCTTTACAAATCATTCAAGAGAACAGGGCTTCACATTAGGAGAGAGGGACTCCCATATCCCTGGTCGGGTGTATATACACCCCTCTTCCTATAGCACATACAGTGGTGGATACAGATTCAAAAGTCAAGTAGGCAAAGCTTAGTTTAAAAACTCGATGATATGAGTGAATTTCATTCATATAAATAAAAGGATACATCTAGTGGGGGGGACGCAATAAACCTTATCCTCAAATATGCATCTATGTACTTAAATAAAAGCTTAACAAAACAAAAAAAACCAAGTAAATGCAATGCAACACAAAATTAGATTATTTAAATCTAAAACTTTACCCTACAAGGCTTAGAAATCTTAAATTCATCAATTATCTTTGCATTATTGATACTATTGGTAAACTCTCCTTCAATGTGGAAGATCATGCAATCAGCAAGGAATTCATCAGCTATGGTGCTGCGAAGTCGATTCTTAATAATTCTCTATGAAAAGCCTAACTCCGTTGTTTCTGTAGAAACATGAAGAGTCAACACAAACTGAATCAACCTATAAAGCAAATGGTAGTTTTTTACCAATTTGTTTCCACCAATTGTTGATATAAATGAGAAAGAGTGGTGATTTCCTTAAAACATAAAAAGTGATGTATATCAATGAAAACACAAACTCAAAGGACATCACAACAATATAGTTACTCTCTACATCGCCCCAATAGGAGATGCATACATTTATTTTAGGAAAAAACCAAATAGGAGAAGATAATTAAATAGGAGAGAATGAGAAGAATACTTGTCGCCTTAGATAGGAGAAGATGCTGCTAAGAGAGAAGTTATTGTCCGCCCAAAGAGAGAAGTTACTGTCAAAGCTGCCAAGGAAAATAGGAGGTGGGGACTATCGGCTATACATATGCACAACCAAAAGGGCTGGCTGCTTATATTTCTTGGCTTTGCTTTGATTTGTGGGTTGCTTTTAATTTTTTTATATGTCTGGGTAGGCATGTACTTTGTATATTTTACATCATCACATGAGCTAGGTAGGAATAAGTATGATTACAGAGGAATGTATGCACCCGAAAATAGGTAACATTAGTGTTAAGTTCAGTTGTAAGATTCGTCTATAACATGTTTGGAGAAAATACCGAAAGCCCCCCTAATTTATCAAAGAAATTTCATCTCACGTAGTATTACTATTTTAGTGATGTTACAATACTAGTATTTATTTATTAATACCATATCTTAAGTCCATGAAATATCGACCATGCCGACAATGTGTCCATCACACCCAAAAGGAAAAGGTTGCAATTGCAAACAACAAAATTACCAAGTACATGTGATCATGGGTGGCCTTGATGGTGTGCAAGTGGTGTCACCGCACAGACCCTCAATTTTTTAGAGTCTTCAAAATTTTCTTATATATATATGAGCACACAACATATTTACACAATTGTGTGCTTAACATAACTAGTTTTGTTGCCTTTCTATACTTGTTAGGGGTGTTGGTTGATTACCACTTGTATGATTTAGTGTTTTCTTTTTACCAATTCTTTTCAAAATAACAAAAATTTTCCATAAATGGCACCAATAAGAATTGACCCCATGACATCAAACAACTTTATCACACAACACCACTAAGCCACATATGCCTTCATGGAAGATAGTTGTATTCATTACTTTTATTGGTTTATGGCATCAATTCACGATAAAAAGAATATTTATAATATTTGTATATTAAATTATTTGAGTTTGTTTATTTAAGTTTCGCACATGACTCTTATTTAAGTTTTGCACAAGGCCCTCAAATTCTCAAAGGCAACCCTACATGTGATGTCAAGTCATCCAAAAACATACCTCTACACTCCATAGCCTAGGATTCCTATGGTCCATCTTATTAGTGTTTGCTAACTCACTCTGCACTATCTCACGCAGCCAAGCACACGTATCACCATGGCAAAAGAAACCCGTATATACCCCGAAAAATGCATGTAAGCCTTGTAACATGATGAGTCAAATAAATAAATAAAAATGAGTCGTGTTGTATTCATTTTACCCTAGTAAGAGTTCAAGGGTAGAACTTGCCCCTAAACACCAGTGTATAGAAGAAGGGTGTTCAAGGGCTCTTAAACCACTCTAGGATATTCTATTTTTCCTCTGTAGGATTTTGAGTCCCAACACAACCAAATTTTCGACTAAAAAACAAAAGCTTTTGTTGATTAAAAAGGGAAGTTAAAAGTCTATTATTAAAGAAGAGTGGTGATTTCCCCACTCCAATTTTATCCACTTACACTCCATTTTATAACTAAAAAAGGAGTGTAAGTAGATAAAATTGAAGTGGAGAAATCATTACCCTTAAAGAAATGGGATTTTAATTGTAGAGTTCCCTGAACTTTACCTCAAGTTTTAATTGAGTCCCGAAACCTTTTTTTTTTTTTTTTTTTTTAGGCAATTACATCATTTAACTCAACAAGTAATTGCAATTAGGTCCTACTACCGCATTCCGTCAATTTAGCCGTTTGTTTGAAGGGTAATTCAGAAAATTTACAACTTATGAAATCGTCTTTAAAACACATTTCGAGTTTTGTCCATATGACCCAGGCCCAATGCTTACACTTGCCGAAAAATAAAAAAGGAACACATCACAAACTAACCAAGAATTTTTCATATTTTATTTTGTTGTTTAACAGCCCTCCCTTCTCAGATCCAAAATCGACCAGTCAACAAATGAGCGACTAAATGATAAATATGAACACGCAAATAGCATAGACTGTAAGGAGAAGCAGCAAGCTGTTCACAAGTATCAGACCAAGGCAAGACCTCCTAAGGAACAAATCACATGCTTCAGCACAAAATAGCAGATTTGCTTAAAATTTTCAAATCACTTGGTCCCTCGGTCAAGGTATTCATCGCACATATTGGACCGATTTAAAGCCACCGGAATGAATAAAAAACGATTCAATAGTTCATCTCATAACAACAGACCAGTATGGTGCAAAGCAACAATATAGGAAACAGATGAATAACTAGCAGTACAGGGGCAATGTGAATATTAGTAGACTTCTAATGAACAAAAAAATTGAAGTGGTAACAGTAAATCAATCGTCCTTTCCCTTGTTATATAGTTTTCTTACAAGCTCAAAATTCGTATGACGCAACTACCTACACCAATAACTCCATAATGCTCTACCACTTAATAAATTAACTATAACAACTTTATTTGCTCCTGTACAGGAATTGCACATCCCAAGTACCTCTTGAGCTCACCATTTCTATAATATGCCTGTTTTGCACAGAATTATATGTTTCTATTCCATCTGACTTGTTAGTGCTGCTCCTTCATCATCAGCATCGTGTTCTTGTTCTACACTTTTGACCTGCAAATGCAGAGATCTATGTCAGACACAGACAAATCTGATTTGGATAGAGAGAGTGGGGAGGGGAAGAGAAAGAGAGGGAGGGGGTTGGGGTTTGCTCTTCTTCGAAGACTTGGTTCAGAGTTTCCATACACTTGTTAGAGTCACTTGGAACATTCTCTTTTTTTAAAATTTAAATTATACAAAATCGCTTGTACATAAACATCTGCTCATTTCAAAAGATTAAACTAATCTCCCTCATCAAATTAAACTTTATATTATAGTTTCCAAAATCCTTAAAGTGTAAATAAGTTAGTATTCATATAATACTATTAAAAATATAGTTATTGTGATACAGAAGTCTCAGTATGCACTGAATTCTATTTACAAGTCAGAGGTGGTTCTATCCGACATGTACTGAACTTCTTGTTTTATACATAATAGGCCTTGGAGGCAAAATGCCATTTCGAATAGAATCAAGGACCATTAGTGAGGTTTCAAGGACTGAAGGACATCATCTTAAAAATACTCGATGGAAAGGTCCTAAAAGATGAAATTTGTTGGAGACCAAAACCTAAAAAGAAATTAATCAAATAATGGAGAACAGCACGAAGCTGTTTCATAAGACAGCAAATGGAAGTAAAAAATAAAATAAAATAAAAACTGTGAACAAATTGATGAATTAATTGGAGGATATGCAATACTATTGAGATCGAAGCAGGGAATTGTGAATGAGGTCACTGGCTTCTCTGAGAGTTCAGATTTTACGCGGATTGAATGGATTGTTGTCCAATTGGTCTTAATAGTGCAAACTGGTTGGAAAGGCTGTTTGAAGAGGTTGCTTAGAAGGGCAATGGTCGACTGTTGAAGGGAATAGCCCCCTGAGGATGAGATAAATTTCAGGTGGATGAGATAGATCATATCCAATTAATCCCGAGAGAGAAAAATGGTTGCAAAGTCCCTTCGAAGAGGATGAAATTAGGGAGGCAACATGCCTACCGTGGAAGGGAACAGACCCCTTGACCAAATGGGGTTTATTTTTATATGGAAATTTTTAGGGGATTATTTGGATATGATTAAAGATAGGAACTTTTTAGGAGTGGGAATGTGAATGCCAGCACCAATGCAGATGACACTATTTTCACTTCGGTGCTGAAAGAGGTTATTTGAACTTGGTTAGGTTTTCAAAGTTTTCGGATCCTCTTAGGTCTAAATATAAACACACCAACAAACAGGGCGGCTAACAACATTGGAGGCTCTTTCTAGGAGGTCGAGCTGTGAAATTAGAGCTCAGTCTTTGAAATGTTTGGGCCTCCCCATTCAGCTAACCCATGTTCTTTGAATTTATGGGAACCAGTAGTGGGAAAAGTGAGAGCATTTAGATTGGTGGAAGAAAAGATGCTTCCCTAGGGGTGGTAGATTTGTTATACTTCCGTTTACAGTAGCATTCCTAAGTTCCTAACCATTCCATGTATAGAACGCCAAGTAGCGTGGCCAAAGATGGAACATTATCATACCAACAAAGATTCAACATTATCATACCAACAAAGATTCAAATGCAAAGGCATGCACATTGTTGAAAATGCAAGCAAATGTTTGCTGCTTGTTACCTCAGGTACATAATGCATTAGCATATTTTCAATGCCAGATTTCAGGGTGACTGATGAGCTTGGGCAGCCACTGCATGCTCCTTGCATTCTCAATTTAACTATTCCAGTTTCTCTAAACACAGATTAAAAAAAGAATTAGAAAACAAAAGAAGCAAAGAGATAAAGCCAAGAAGCAGAAATAAAATTTCGGCCTTCTCCAATATTAAATTAAAAAGACAAATTAAATGAAGGACTTACGGATCAAATCCCCTATACTCAATGTCGCCACCATCATCTTGCACTGCTGGTCGGATGCGAGTCTCCAACAATTCTTTGATCATTGCAACAATTTCTGAATCATCCTACAACAGAAACCACCAACATGGTTGTATATTTGAGATTTATGCACAAAAGAATTGATAAAACAAATACTAAAGAATGGTTAAATATATCCTCCAAAGTTCCAGTTCTAATTTCTGATATTTCAACTTGACCAGCTTTGTCCATCAGAGCCACATACTTGTATACAGCATGCCTCATCACTGAGGTTTCCACAGAATTTTAAAAAGTGAGATCCATTGATGACTCAGCCCATATTTCTCTAATTACACCAAAAAGAATCAAAGGTCTTTGACATTCAGTAAGTGCATATGAAGTTATTGTAGTTAAGCTTAATTCCCTTTTCCTTCTACTTGTCAAGCCCTTCCCACTCTTTCGGGTTTTCTAGTATATAAGTTATCTGTAAACTTGAGGTGGTATGGCACTCAAATAGGCAGTGGATAGCAGAGTCTTTCATTCTACTTGACAGGCCCTCTTAAGGGTTTTCTAGTATATGAATCATCTAAAAACCTGGTGGTGCCATAGCTTCGTGGCAGAGTCAACAAAGATGGAGGTAGGATTGACTACAAGCACCATTAGTGGGTTTGGTAAGGTCAAATATAAAGGGTTCTGAAGGCACAATTATGGGGTAAGATAAGGTTATACTACACTAGCATGCTCAAAATATAAGATGTCCGCCTGAATTTGGGGAGAGCTGCCATTCTTAAGTCTAATATAAAACTGCTATAATAAAATAAATCACTTGCTTATGGTTACAAAGAGGAATCAAGGCACAGTTACTTATGACGGTGCCTCAAACAAAAGCTACAAGCCTTAAGGTTACTCTTTGATGCCCTCAAAATTCTACTACACTATGGTTCTAACAACACTTCACAACCAAAAAAAAAAAAAAAAAAGTGACTCTAAAACTTCAATAACGCCAAGGAGCTTCCTAACCTAGAATGTTACTCCCACTTGGGGGTGAGTAAACACTAGCATATACAGTCCATCAAAGCACATACTAATTCTAACAACATTCTTTCTTATTTAAGAAGTTAAATAAAAATATCTTCAAATCAAAAGGTATAACACTGATCTGAACACTCTGTCAACAAGTTGGCCCAAAAGTTGTAAAAAGTTCATGGAGATAAATTTCAGGACATACTTCTTGAATAGCAGTGTCCATCGCTGATGCAGTTTTTGAGTCTAGAAAGAGTGACTGCCCAGAAGAATAGAAGTCCATGATTGCTGCAAAGATTTCAGGCTTCAAAAGATCCCAAGAAGTATCTTCTGACTTTGTTACAGTAACAAAATCTGATCCATAAAACACTCGAGTAATTCCTGTATTAAAAGAAACCCGTATTAGATTTATAGCATCACCAAACAAAACAATGCTGAGCAATTAAAATTTTAGGAGAAAATAAGAAGAAGAAAAACCTAATTAAACCAGAGTGAACAAAGTTCAATGAGTGGAAGAAATTGCAGGAAATTGACCATTCTTATGGGTCATTGGTCTTACTTTAAAATTTATGAAGTCAAGTTATCGTACCAACTGAATCAATTACTAAGTGAATTCCAATTCCTACAGGGAAATATCTATCTGTACTGTCCACTTGTGGTATCAGCACTTACCTACGTGCATTTCTCAATTATCAACAGCCTTAGTCCTTAATACCTATCTTCTCCCAACTACCCTAGAAACCTTTAATTTCCGTATATATTGAGCTGCTTTAAACCCTTCAAATCAGACTTGAAACATTCAAACCAACTACTGCCCCTGAAATTCCTACAACCAGAATTTTTTTTTTCTTTTCGGATAAGTATAACACTTTTGTTGACAAGAACAAACCAGACGTTAAGTTCATGACCTATGATTATAGTAACAGGCTGTACCAAAATGCAATAAATGGCTCCAGAGGAGAACTCTTCGTGATCCAAAAAGACAAGGTCACTTCAGCACCCGGTCTGAATTCTCTAAACCACAATTGTTTCTTTCCCTCCGTATACACCAGGAAGCCATTTTCCAACAACCACGACACTCCCGGCAAACTCTAACACCCAGCTGATCCCACAAGCAGTCCCTCACTGAGTAGCATATAGTCACTCAAGCTTAAAGAAAGCCGGGCAAATAAATTGGAAGATATTAACATCAATTTCTTGATAAACTAAAAAAATGAAAACGGCTAAATACAAATAGGCTTCTAGTGCACTTAATTACAAATGGAAGTGAACACCAAACCTGAAAAGTGCATAACTCCACAACTTAACTAAATTTTTGTTCCAAACTCAGCATAATATCTGAACAGCATAGCATAGCCAAAAATACGAACCATACAGCCCATTTTCAAATAGTAAAGAAACATAATTTACAAATTAAACAGTAACTAGAGTAGCCAACAGCTCAGGACAGATTTCTCCCGCATAACAATTAAAACCATTTTTTGAGAGGGTTTTAATGATATATTTTGGGAGTTATTTTGATATAAGGTTGCCTTTTACACTTATAGGCTTCTAGCATGCATTAAACTTATTTTCCACTTTTCTGATGTTCTCTTGAACCCGAGCTAAAATAACAACAATATTCAACTACTAGTCAGATTGAAATTAAATCTTATACACCGAAAGTAGAAAAATAAAGGCTCTGCAGTCATAGATAACAAGAAAAAAGTGGTTACTACCCTTGAAGTCAATTCAAAGCTAAAAGTATTGTATCTTTTCAAGAATTATTTGTGAAGACCAATAAAAAGAGGGCATATTAAAGTTAAATTAATTTGCAGGCATTGTCCTCCTGAAAAGAAAAAATACAACAAGGAAAAGGATAACTCTGCATACTAGAAATGGGAATATCAATCTTACCATCAATTCCATAAAGGGCTTTGGCCAGTGGTGAATTCATGGCCGAACGGGCATTCGGAAAGTCGGCACTGCCAACTTCCATAACAGGCTTCCCTGGATAAAACATGAGAGATGCAGGGTTGGGTGTGGATTGAGTTTGAATAAACATGCTTCTCTTCTGCCCTGTGGAAAAGCAACGCCAAACATAAATCTGAAGCTAGTTATAACCTCAACCTCAGGATGGCCAAGCCAAACTACTTTCTTTTTATTAATTTATGTCAAATTTATAAGTGACATGAAATGATACATTCTCCAATTTCCAAATTAAATTAAATCTTAGCTTGAAAAACCCATGATCATTGATAAAATGGAAAATTGAAAATGAAAAATAAAAAGCAGAAAACCATTTTCTTATCATTTCCTTCATTTTCCTAGATATTAGACAAAAAAGAATAAAATTTCAATTTCAATTCGACTCCCTTTTCTTTTTTCTCGATATTCCCAGAAACCAAAAGCACTGCAAGTTTAACAAATAAGAAACTAACCACCGAGAAAGCCCCATTTCATAGAAGTGAAAGGAGATTCAGAAGACGAAAAGGGGGAGTTATGGTGACCCAGATACGACGTCGTGGCAGGTGAATAAGCAGATAGGAAATAGGTCCGGCGAGAGATGAATCGGAAGCCATGAAATTGTCCAGAAGCTTCGCATCCTCTGTGAGATGAAAGACTTCGTCCAACTAATCTTCGTAACCCTCTCATCCCAACACTCTCTGCCTCTGCGCGGTGGAGTTCCTGGTTTTTTTTTTTTTTTTTTTACCTTCTTCTCTCTTTTGGGCTGGAGGATGAAGAAACGCAGCAGAGCAAGGGAAGGGACTGCTCGAACGGGCTCTTGTACATCCAGTATTTTCTTAAAAGTCACGTGGGAAGCACGTGGGATTACATGTATTTTCTAAAGATCTATTTATGGATATGCCCTGTGCGTTCAAAATAGTCTCGGATTACCACCTGTTTTTTGAAATGTCTCAATATACCACCTATACTTTCATTAAGTGTCTCCCGTCAGCGATTCCGTCAGATTTGAGAGAAGTTCCATTAGCTGATGTGACCCCCACTTCTTTTCAATCTCTTAACAAGGTAGAGGAAGGGTATAGTCAAATTGAGAAAATGGGGAATTTGAGAGAAAAAGGGGAATAAGCAAGAAGTGGGAAAATGATGTTCTGATGGGTTTGAGCATCCAGAGCCTATTGGATTTGGCGGTGGCAAGGATTTCTTTGATGATTGGTTTGGGAATTTTTGCATTTATTTTCTATTCTTTCCTCCGTTGCTTTCTTACAAACCGCCAAAGACGTATCTTGATCCTTCACTCAAGGTAAAATTTCCAATTCAGATTTCATCAGCTACATCAATCTTGTTCTGAGTCTTTATCAAGTCCTTCAATTATGCTGTTAACTTCATCAAGATGAAATCTTTCGCTTGTTTGTCTGAGTGGCAAATTTGACACATTTTTGCTTTCAAATGTAGCCCTTACTATGAAGTATTTTTGTTGGATTCAATAAAATTCTCCTCTCTTTTTTTGGGTCAGATCATTCTCTTTTGTCCGATTGAATTTCCCCACTTTTTTTCAACCTAACCTCCTTCACCCAAATTCTCCTTTTTCTCAACCTGACTAACTCTTCTTCTTCCTTGTCAAGAGATTGAAAAGAAGTGGGGGCCACATCAGCTAATGGAACTTCTCTCAAATCTGACGGAATCGCTTATGTGAGACACTTAATGAAAGTATAGGTGGTATATTGAGACATTTCAAAGAACAGGTAGTAATCTGAGACTATTTTGAAAGCACAAGGGGCATATCCATAAATAAGACTTTTCTAAATGTTCTAAAACCGATTTTGAAAGATTACCGATAAATACCTCTTCTGAAAAAGGAAAAAAAAAAGAACCTAAACATCCAATGAATATTTGTGTAAATCCCCCCTTAAATCGCTTATACTAAAAAAAAGGAATGCTAGCCACCTTCTCTCTAACCTTCTCTTTTGGACTTTCTCTTTTCCCTTCATGACATATGTCATTTTTTCTACGCTTAAAACAATGTCATTAATGCATTAGACAATATATCTTTTGTTCCCAAATTTACCCTTATTAAATGTATTAACTTTATGTTTCCTTCGATTTACAACTTAACTTAAACAATGTAAATTTAAAAAATAAACACTAAAGTTCAATTAAATAAGGATTAACTGTTGAGATTTATCTTAATTATGTTTTCTGTAGAATAATTGTTAGTTCCTATTTTATAGAAGTCAGTTGTTTCCTTTCCTAGTCTTTAGGAATCCCTCTAGTTGATGGAGTTTGTTAGACGTGTTTTAGTTGTTCCTCTTTATTTGCTAATTAGTTGTTTGTACACTCATTTATAAGAAGAGCATGTTTCAGTCAATGTATAGTAAGTTCAGTTCAGCAATTCTTTTTGTCTTCTTATTTTCAAAGTTGTCTTTTAATTCTCACATTAACTACATAAAAGTACCCAACCTTCAGGGGTCGTTTCAAATTAGTACTCAACCTTTTAAATTTTTCACGGGCATACCAGACCTTTCGTAAAACATATAAATTAGTCACTCCGTTAGTCAGACCATTAATGGAGGCGTTAAGTGATGGCGTGACTGCTCCAATGTGGCTTTTTTTGTTGAGGTGGATACCACGTAGATTAAAAAATAAAGGCTTATTTATGTACATGCCCCTTGTGCTTTCAAACTTGTCTCATATTACCACCTGTGTTTGGAAACGTCTCAAAATACCCCCCAAAACTTTTATAAACGGTCTCACATTACCCGTTTCGTCAGTATTATAGACGTTATGTTACTTGTTTTGGGCCCCACTTCGTTTCAATCTTTAACCTTATGAATAAGGGTTTTTCAGTTTTAAGAAAAGAGGAAATTGGGTGAGAAGGGGAAATTGGAGAAGAGGGCTTAGGGTTTATGAAAATCAGAGGTGGGCTTCGATTTTGGGAGAATCTGGAGAAGAAATTAGGGGTTTATAAAACTCTGAGGTGGAGTTTGAAATTGGGAGATTATGTAGTAGAAGATTAGGGTTTATGGATCTTTGAGTGGAGTTCGGATTTGGGAAATGGAAGGGGGTCGCACGATTTGGGAGAAAAGAGGGAAGGGGGATTTCAGATTTGGAGGTTCAGCTGGTTCTTCTCTATGTGAATGCTTACTGAATTGAAGAAGAGATGGAAACAAGAAAAGCAAGGCATGCCCAATGGTGTCATTATGGGAAGTTAGCACTAATGCAGACTTCTTGGACCAGTTCAAACCCAGAGTGGAGATTTCTAGTATGCTTAAAGTCATAGGTAAGAATGTTTAAGATCAAATTATCAGTCACTGTTTTGGGTATCACAAATTGATAGAGTTCTTATTGATGAAATTTTCAGTCATTGATCAAATTGCGCACATTTTCAGTCATTGTTCTTGGTTGATACAGGGAAGTGGAGAAAAAGGATGTAGGTTTTTTCAGTGGTTTGATGCAGAAATGTGTGAGCATTCAAAGTCTTTGATACCTGGTTTGCTAAGGAAGATTGATAAGGTGAAGAAGGAAAATGCAAAGATTCGAGCAAAGTCAAAAATATTGTGGGCTGCTATGTTGCTTTCCTGGTTGGTGGTGTTTGCCATGAAGATGAATTAGGAGGAATTAGGAGGAATTAGGAGGAATTAAGAGTAATTTGTTTTGTAATTTGGTGGGTGTAATTTGATTGAGAAGCAGTAGTTCAGTAGGCAATGTAATTTGAGAACAAATGCTAATGTAATGTAAGGCACTTTGGAAGTAGTTAAGTTGGTGTAATGTAATGTAATGTAATGTAAGGTAATGTGGCAGTGGTTAAGTTTGTTCATTGTAATTTGTTTAGAGTTTAGAGTTTTCTTTGATCTGTGACATGAATGGAAACTTGTTTAGAGGTTACAAATGGTGACATACTGATAAGCATCATACCAAAAATAGGTTGCAACAATATCTTGTTCATTGGATACCAAAAACAGGTTACAAAAATAAGTTACTCAGAAGCATATATTGTTCATGCCATATCAAATGGTTGCATCTCAATACCTGATCAATATAAGCACAAACCAAAACAAGTTCCAACCATCACATTACATAGGCCTCATCATTTGGCCCGCGGGCTCATGGGCCGATGGGGGCCTGCCTGGCCCATAAAAAAAAAAGCTCGGCTCGGCCCGTTATGGGCTTTGAGATGGCTCAGCCCGCCTTGGGCTGGGCTAGGCTTGGGCTTGGGTGTCTGAAGCCCAGCTCGGCCCATAGACCAGGCCCGATAAGCCCAAGAAAGCCTGACCCGGCCCACCCACAAAAGTCCGGCCCATTAGGCCCACATACATATATAATTATGTATAAATAAGAGTTTAGGTTTAGGATTATATCACTTAAATCACATATATAATTTCTTTCATTTCATTTACTTTTCTTTACTCATTCCTAGTTTATAATTGGATGATTAACACATTAATTTGTGTCAATTATTAATTCAACAATCATATATATATATATATATAAGATGAACAACATATCACATCACCAAATATAATCATATTACGAAATATAATCGTACCACCAAATATAATCATGCTTTTCTTGAACACATCACCAAATATTTGCATATTTATTCATACCATCCTGTAAAAAAAAAAAATTGATACTTATTATTTTTTAAAACATATTCCGGTCTAATTATGTAATAACCTCATAAATAATACTTTATTTTATTATTTTTGTGAAAAATCTTGTTAAGTTGTGTGACTTTATTGGGTGTTTTATGAATTTGGTTTGATGTGAAAATATTGGAATTAAGTGAGTTTAATCTCAAATTTGGACTAAAATGCCCTTATGATTAAGTTTATGATTTTTTTTTAATAAAGTAGGCCCGTTTAGGCCAGGCCCAACTCGATGGGCTTTCTCAAGTCCGGACCATGGGTCGGGCTTGGGCTTTGAATTTTCTAAAAAAATTCGGCCCAGCCCGGCCCGGTATTTTCACTCTCCTCTTTAAAGCTCAGCCTGGCCCGAACCATTGACAAGCCCTAACATTACATATCAAATGGTCAATTACATCTAAGTACCTGACTCAAAAACCTTGACAGACATGAAAGCCTAATAAAACCAACCATAACATCCATCAATAATCCCACAAACCAACAACCCAATTGCAACTATTTCTGGACCATTAAAGTCTTACATAATTGCATAATCTATAATTCCACAAATTCAAACCATTCAAAAAGAGTTTATCCTAATTCAAAAATAGGTTACAAAAGTTCAACATCATCACATCTAAGGATGAAAAAAGGATCTTTGACAAAATGGCTTCTCTGTTGATCTTTCATCCTCCTCCTATGTTGTTGTACTTGAAATAGTTTGGCAGATTGAGATGAATCACATGTTTGAGAAGTCTAAGCTACTTGAGATGGTTGGGATTGAGAAGTCTGGGCTACTTCAAATGCTTAGGATTGAGAAGGCCATTGGGAACCACTTGCTTGTTTCCTTTGCCTTAATTGCATACTCTGTTGTCCGCTACTTTATTCTCCACCTTCTCTCCTTCTTACCTAAAACAAATAATAATTAGAAGTTTCCATGATATGAAATTTTGATTGGTGAAAACATAGTTGAAACCATGACACTTACTGGAAGTTTTTTCTTGACAACTTTCCTTTGCCTAGTTGGCTTTATGTTGGGATTTCTAGGTTCTTAATAAGCAAAGTCATCAAGTCAGAAACCAAATCAAATAGATTTAAATGTAAATCAATTTTGGATAATGACACATACCTTACAACTAATTCGATTATGGCCTTCTCCACCGCAATTGCCACACTTTAAAGGGATGTCATACCTAGGAAGCTTTTATGGATTAGCAGGTTGTTTAGGTTCATCAAAAGCTTGTTTTCTTGTCTTCTTAGGCCTACCAGGCTGCTTGTGGTATTTTGGAGAGAGTAATGGAGGTGAATTAATTTTCATCTACTGATCTTGGCTAGTCATAGGCATAATCATTGGTTCATAGGCTCTCAAATAAGCCTCTCGCTTGTACACTGCATCACAAAAGTTCTCTGGATTCCCATGAAACCAACTTATTACAGCACAAGCATGCAAACATGGTATTCCATTCAAATCCCAGGCATGACATGAACAAGAATGGGCATTCAAATCAACAGCAAAGTTGTGGCCACTATGGTGCATTACTTCAAACTTATTCTGTCTAGCAGCCTTAGGAATGTACCACTGAGCTTTTCCTTTGTTTTTCTCTAATATCTTTCTAATTCTTGGTCCAACTTGTCCATGCAATTTCTCACATAAAACCCTTCTTCCAGCCATCAACAACATTATATACAATCGAATTCTTTCTAACATTGTCAAAACAGGCTTGTTTCTAGCATCCATTATGCTACGGTTGAATGCCTCACATAGGTTGTTCATAAGCATGTCATACTTGGAATCACTCTTGAAATATGCCCTCCTTCAATGCCTAGGATCTTTCTCTGCAAGCGAATCATGTGCAGGTTTAAACAACTCCAACATCTTTCTCATCTCTGCATGAAACAATGGTATTGTTGTGGCCCTAGCAATTGCTTGCATTTGATGTTTCAAAGCAAAACCTCTTTGTTCCAAATAGAAGTTTCCATACAGATGTTTCAAACAATGTCTATACTCTGCATGAGGGAATAGAGCATCCACAACATCTATTAAACCTTTTTATTTGTCAGACATAAATACATAACCATGGCTATTCCTAATATTCAGATCACCACTCAATAATTCTAAAAACCACAGCCACGTTGAATTGCTCTCAATCTCTACATATGCATAGGCAAGTGGAAACATTCCGTTGTTTGCATCAACTCCCATTGCAGAAAGCACTTGCCCAGGGTGAGGCCCTTTGACATGACACTCATCCAAGCAAACCACAGGCCTACAACCATCTAAAAAACTCTTCTTGCGGGCTGCAAGACAGATGTAAATACTTTGAAACCATGGCTTATCACCTTTCATTTTAAGTTTAATGATAACTGTACTTCCCACATTTTTTGTTCTTAACTCATGAAAATAATCCCACAATACTTCATATTATTTACTGTAAGACCCCTCTACAATGTCAACTGTCATGGCTCTTGCTCTGTACACAGTTGCTTTAGATGGTCTGTAACCATAGTCTTGGTGAACTTGCTCTGCAAAAGAAGAAGCAATCCAATTTGGATTGAGCCTTAATTGCCCAGAATATCTTTCACCCAACCAGCTAGCAGTGGCATGTATATTTTTACTCCCCTTACTACAACCATGTGTAGGATTAAAGGTTTTCACCTGCAGGTGAGTGCTACCACTAACACTTGAAGCATGGATAACAAAAGGACAACCCTCTTCACATACTAATCTTATTTTGTTACAGTCATTATTCATAAATATCAACTCCCTTCCACAATTAATGGAGTATATCCTTACAACTTTTCTAAACATCTCGGCAGTTGCAAACTTTAAACCTATTTGAAGCCTAGGTTTGCCATATCAACTACAGGTCTGAAATCTTTACCTTTTGGCATTCTATTCTTCTTCCTTCTTAGTTCACCTACTGCTTCATCTTCACTTGAAGAGCTATTTGGCAGGTAAGTGTAGGTGACTCTTCTCCATTGTCTGACTCATCATTTTCCTTTGCATTAAGATCACTGTCAAAACAACTATAACCCACATAACCTCAAACCACTTACATCCTTCTTCAATAAGTCAATCTCTTCATCACTCTGTGCATAATCACTATCTTCAAATTCTAGATTACTGCTATCATTCCCCACTTGGCTTAAAGTCAGGCTCACTACTTTCAAGTACAAAACTATCACTCTGCTATTGCTGTTAGGTACCATGCTCATACAAGCTAAAAGCGTACTATCTAATATTTCTACCAGTTCCAAACTCATCACCATAAAAACTCACATCATACCCATCGTCATATCCCAAATCTTTAGTCATTCCAAATAGCTCTAACATGGACATATAGTCAACCTCACAATAATCAAACCAACTGACTTCACCACCCAAATAAGACCATTCATTGTCCTTTCTATTTTTAACTAGTTTACCTCCATGGAAAAACTTAAATGTAACAACCTCGTCAGCATCTTTATCTGTGTAAGAGGAAGATTCACTTAACAAATGGACAAAGGTAACAAAGATAAAACAAGGACCACACAAAGACAATACAAGGACCACACAATAACCACATAAGGACCACACTAGGACCAGCACAGAGTACAAAAGTATACGAAAAAACAAAAACAAAAACTCCAGCAACACAAAAGAACCAGACAAGGAACACGCAAGGACCACACAATGACCACACCAAGACCAGCATAGAGTCAAAAAGTATACAAAAAACAAAACAAAAAACTCTAACAACAGTTCAATGCACATGCCAAAATCAAGAAAATCGAGTGAGAATGGGTCCACTTACATATGGGTTGACAGTCCAGATTCTCTAAGCACCACCATCTTCGCACTTTCTAGCCTTAAAGTCTAACGCCAAACAATGATTTCTTCTCCAGATTCTCCCAAAATTGGAGCCCACCTCATATTTTCATAAACCCTAAGCCCTCTTCTCCAATTTTCCCTTCTCACCCAATTTCCCTTTTCTTAAAAATGAAAAACCCTTATTCCCATAGGTTAAAGATTAAAATGAAGTGGGGCCCAAAGCACGTAATGGAACGTGAGACTGTTTTTAAAAGTTTGGGGGCTATTTTAAGACGTTTCCAAACACATGTGGTAATTTGAGACAAGTTTGAAAGCATATGGGGCATATACATAAATAAGCCATAAATAAATAAATTGTTTAAATTTTAAATTAATTAAAAAAACTCAAAAATTAAGAAAAATCAGCTTAAACACTTAAAAAAATAACATCCCTCTCCAGATCCTCCATCGACCCTAACTCCACCTTCTTCATCTCCAGATCCTCCATTGGCATTCTCATTGGCTTCACTTTCTTCATCCTCCATCGACCCCAGCCAGAGGCGGTCCTTAAGCCAGGGCAGGGTAGGCTACCGCCTACCCAAAAAATTTTCACTAAAAAAAAACTATATATAAGCAAAGTAATTGATACCCATTACATGTGATGGTATAAAATCTTGCCTACCAAGCCCATGTAAAACCCACACCACATGTGTTAAAGCCCACTCAAACTTTAAAAAAAAAAAAAAAAAATTATAACCAGCCCATGTTATGGAATGGCCCAGTCAAACTTTAATAAAAGGGGGAATATAACTTATAAGCAGCCAAATAGTGGCTGTGCAATTCCAGACAGAGTCGGCAGCTTCTTCCCAACTCAACAGTCTTGGCTGTGCAATCGTGGACAGCCCCTTCTCTTCTCATATACAAGGAAACAAGTATTCTTCTTAATCTTTTCTCTTTAATTATCTTCTTCTATTGGGTTATTCCTAAAATAAATGTATGCATCTTAGTTTTAATTTTAATTTGAAATTGAGTTTTCTAGGGTTTAATTAGGAATGAAATATAATTTGAGGACTTTGTTGAAATTAATTAGGTCTTTGATGTTAAGAATTTTGTTGAGATGTTTGATTTGATGTTGGCATTGTTGAGATGTTTGATTTGTTGTTGGTATGTTAATGTTTGATTAAATTTATTGATGCTATTATGAGAAATTGTTTGATTTTTTGTTGGGATGTTTGATTAAATAGGTTATCTTTTATTATGTCGGATCACAATCGAAACCCCAAGAAAACAAAGAATTTGTTCTCTTTTTTTAAGAAAAAGAATGATGGGTCATCATCTTCTAGAATGCCTCCCATTTATGATGAACCAAATCTTCTCTCTTCTCCCATTGTCGAGCCTCAAGTTGAAAGAGTTGAGACTCAAAGAGTTGATAGTGGTCAAGATTTTAATATCAATTATCTTGAGCGTGATCCGAGATTACGTCGTCAAATATGTCAATATTCGGTGAATGAATAAGATAATGTGAGAAAAGCCTATATTATTTTAGGACCTTGTCAACTGGAGTTAGAAGACTATCCAAGACATTTAAAAGGGCGAGACTTATGTCGATTTAATAAATTGTGGTTTGGTAAATTCCCTTGGCTTGAGTATTCAATTGCTAAAGATTTGGCATTTTGTTTTCCTTGCTTCCTATTTGACATGAATCATTCACATTCAACCTTTACTATTCATGGATTTCAAAATTGGAAGAGAATTGGTGGTAATCAATGTGTATTTCAAAGTCATGTAGGCAAGCTAAATTCTCCACATCATCTTGCTATGCAAAAGTGGGTTAGCTTAAAAAACTCATCTCTTCATATTGAAAATGTGGTAGATAAGCAATCAAGGCAACAAGTGATAGACAATCAGTTGCGACTTACAATCACAATAGAGGGCATTCGGTATCTAGCAAATCAAGCATTGGCTTTTCGAGGTCAAGATGAATTCGTTGACTCATCTAACCGGGGCAATTTCGTTGAAATCTTAAAGTCTTTTGCAAGAATGAATATTGAAGTTGAGAAAGTTGCTCTAGATAAGGCTCTTCATAATGTTCAGTATATTGCCCATGATATACAAAAACAAATCTTGCATATTTTTGCTACCAAGGTGAAGAAGAAAATTTGTACCGAACTTGGGAAGAACAAATATTGTATTCTTGTTGATGAATTACTTGATGAATCAAGCAAGGAACAAATGGCTATTATTCTAAGATTTGTTGATTGTGATGGATTTATTCGTGAACACTTTTTCGATATTGTGAGTGTCGTAGACACTAATGCCTTGACTCTTAAACAAGAGATATGCAAAGTGCTTGATAATAACGGCATTCTAGTGGAAAACATGCGTGGCCAAGGGTATGATGGTGCTAGTAATATGCGTGGTTCATGGAATGGATTACAATCATTGTTTCTTCAAGATTGTCCATATGCATATTATGTGAATTACTTTGCTCATCGCTTGCAATTAGCATTAAATGGTGCAGCTAAAAATGTGAAGGTTGTATGGAGATTTTTTTCAATGTTGACTAACATTGTGAATTTTGTTAGTGCTTCTGCTAAGCGTCTTAATGAGTTAAATTTAATCCGAAAAGCTGAACTATAAGAGTTATTGGATTCTGGGGAACTTGAGACAAGTAGAGGACTTAATCAAGGTCGTAGTTTGAAACGAGCTGGAGCCACTCGTTGGGGATCTCACTTTGCCTCTATTACAAGTTTAATGAGTTTATTTAAAGAGACTAAAATACTTCTTTAGGAAATCAGTGAACATGGACCTAACCAACAATTTCGTGATGATGCAGAGAGTAACTATATTGCTATGATATCTCTTGAGTTTGTGTTTGCATTGCTTTTGATGGATAAAATTATGGGATTGACCAACTTTCTCTGTCAAGTGTTTCAGAAAAAAAACTCAAGATATTGTAAGTGCTTTAAACTTTGTTGAAAACACAAAATCACAGTTCCAAGATATGAGGGCCCATGGCTGGGATGATTTATTCATGAGTGTGGCATCATTTTGTGAACAACATGGTATTGATGTTCTTGATATGAGTTCTCGTTATATGATGGGCACACGTCGTTCTTGTCAACAAAAAGATTTTATTACAATTGAACATTACTATCACATTGATGTATTTAATGATGTGATAGATTGCATGTTGAGGGAATTAAATGACAGATTTCCAGAGCAAACAGTTGAACTTCTTATTCTTAGCTCAGCATTGGATCCTCGTAATTCCTTTAAATCATTCAATATTGGGCATCTATGTAAACTTGCTGAGAAATTCTATCCTGCTGATTTCAGTCCAAGTGACTTAAAAGGTTTGGAAATTGAGTTGAGGTATTTTCAAAATGATATGCATCGCCTTCCCTGCAGGTGATGCCTACACGAGAAAAGGTGGACAAATACCAACTCATTGATTCTTAATCTAGACCCCTAACTGACAGGTAGGGGCATTGAAAGAGAGTTTGCTAATAGTATCAATAATAAAGAGATAATTGAGGAATTTAAGATTTCTAAACCTCGTAGGTGCAATTTTAGATTAAAATAGTTTAGTTTTTGTATTGCATTGCATTTACTACTTGTTTTTTTTTTTTTTTTTTTTTTTTGTTAAGCTTTTATTTATGTATAGATATGCATATTTGAGGGTAAGGCTCATTACGTCCCCCCTGACTAGGTGTATCTTTTTATTTTTATGAATAAAATTCACTCGTACCGTCGAGTTTTTAAGGTAATTTTCTTCTACCTGACTTTTGAATCCTGGATCCGCCATCGACCCCAGCAACCTCACTTCCATCTCCAAATCCTTAACCACCGCCCATGTCCTCTTCTCTAAGCCACCCATTAATCTCGACACCATCCCCATCCCAAGCCATCACCAACCCCACCTCACTCCCAACCCCACCCTTTCACCGTCACCATAACCTGGCCATCCTCAAAAACCACCGTCTACCAACCACCACCTAGACATCGCCAAAAACCACCATCCACCGACCACCACCTAGTTGTCGCTCACCATCCATAAAATTTTTTCTCTAACCAAATAGAAGGGAAAATGACCTCATCTTTGTGCCAAAAATTTATCAAGGCACCCATGCCTCCTCCGCGAGTTCATAGCTTCGCCAACCACACCCCTTCCTGCAGCACAACCAGCCACATTTGCTAAACAGAGAGAGACTGAGATAGATAGTGACAGAAAGAGACAAAGATACAAAGAGAGAGGGAGATTGACAAAGATCCGACCCCCATCCCCAACACTAGCCTCAACCAACCTCCCTTTCTTTATATCTGATGAGCCCCACTCTAGATTCATCGTCTTCGTCTTCGTTGCCAAGGCCACTCCATCTCTTTGTCGCCAAGTTCTTCACCCGCCGTAACCCACAAATCTATCTCTATAGAGGTGACGGCTGAGTTTGTCGTCAAAGGTGGGAGCTACATTTTTGGGTGGGGAAGAGAGAGAGACAGAGAGAGAGAGAGAGAGAGAGTTGACAGTGGTGGTTGGTTGGTGGTCTGGTGCTGCGTGGGTTGGGGGTGGGTTAGTATGGTGGATATTGGTTAGGATGAGGTGGGGTTACAATGGGGGATGGGGTTTTGTCCTTTTATTATTATCATTTTAAAATTATTTAAGTTTATGTTATATTAATCATTTGTATTACTTTATTTTAAAATTTTAAAATAATTTTAAAAATAAATACTGTTTTTATTTATTTTTTAATCCACATGGTATCCACCTCAGCAAAAAAGCCATCGGAGCAGCCATGTCATCCCTTGACCTCTCGACTAACCGTCTAACTAACAAAATAACTAATTTGTATGTTTTACTTGAAAAATTTAAAAGGTTGGGTACTAATTTGAAACAACTCCTAAAGGTTGGGTACTTTTATGTAATTAATCCAAAAACTATTTGAAAATAAAAACGAAGTATACTTCCCTATAAAACAAACTTTTTTTGGTTCCAAAAATAAGTTTTACAATAAAACCGTTAAAAATTATGGAATTTAAAAAATAAAAAAAATATGAAAACCCAAACCCGTTACACCATCTCTCTCTCTCTTTCTCTCTCTCTCTCCCCCCCCCCCCCCCTCTCTCTCTCTCAAAAAATGGAAAAACATCACCCACCACAAAGCACCAACCTTTGCTCACCAACATCTCACCGTGCACTATACCTCTCGCTCTCTCTCCTCCATTGATTTCATACCCAAAAACCCATCCCCCCCTTCCTTTACTAAGAAAAGAGTAAACATAATTTTTTTTGTTTAAAAAAGAAAACATACATTAATTCTGTGGAAGATGTTAAAATTCTCCCTTAATTTTTTAACAAGGTGAAAACAAAAGTTAGTTTGTCCAATACATTTAATAAGGGTAAATTTGGGAAACAAAAGATACATTGTCTAATGTATTAATGACATTAATTGAAGTGTAGAGAAAGTAACACATGCAGGGGGGGGAACTAGCCCAATGGTTGCCCTAGGTTGTAGCCTAGGGAAGGTTTTGGGGAATAAAATGATTAAACATATATAGCCTAATATTTTAAACTAAAAATAAATAAAAATATATACAATTGCATATCCTACTACACAGTGGTGGACCTATTGTAGGGGCTTCAAATTGCCCACTTGCTCAGTTGGCGGTGGTGTGTCTTTGTCCTTTTATTTTCATTTATTTTTATATTACTCTATTTACTTAAGTTTACAATGTAAATAAGGAAGTATTCCCCAATTGGATTCAAATAAAAATACTAGAAAATCAAATTCCCGCCAAATCAAAATATGAAAAATCGATTTTAGTGCAAATACGATCTAGGCTAAAAATGATGGCTCATTAAGTCAATATATACTTCATACTAAAATCCCATAAAATCAAGTTTTCTTATTTGATGTGTAAGGAATAAAAGCCGCATAAAATTATTATTCCCAAAAACCATTTTTCATACTTGGTCAATATTTTTACATAAAACAATTTTTCATGTATGATATAAATGCATGAAGGGAGCTAAGGTCAATCTAAGTAAAAAGCCTTAGTTGTTCAATATACAAAGAGTTTTTAGCCTTTCAAAATTGCATCTCCACTCAAAAATTCATGGGTCCTCTATTGCTACCACACCAATAGTCATAGTCAAAGTCTTCCACATTTGTATTATCAATTTTAATCATTTTCCATTAACGTATCTCCAAAAGAGAAGCATTTTTCTAAATAAAATTCCCCATTTCTTGAATAATATGGTCTAATTCCATTTTTTTCCTTGTGTCCACAACTAGTGTGATTTATATGATTTAATGTATACTTTTATTTCTAAAAAAACTATAGAAATTGTTAGTACAAAAAAAATTATCATATCAAAAGAATAACAACCCTAACAAGAGAAACAAAAGACGAGTTTGTTGGTGCCTCAATGGTAGAGGTTCGAAACCCATTGGAAGCACTTTGTGACCAGGGGCAAGCCGAACCCCAAGCGAGGATTAATCCCACCATTTGAAGGTGGGGACACCTCGTGGTATTTACCAAAAAAAAAAGAAGATAAGTTTGCTAACAACAATTATTTGTGAGTTAGAATTGTCAAAAGAATATAAAATTCAAACAACAACTATGATAGATACAGGAAGCACAAAAAATGTAATAAAAGAGGAGTTAGTGCCAGAAAAATTTAGGCAAAAATTAGCTAGACCAATAAGAATAATACAGTTTATACAAGACCTGTATATATAACATATTGCATTAATAATATACCAATTAGAATAGAAAGACAACAATTTAATTTACCTTTAACTTTTATATCCCCAGTAGGATCATATCGTTTTATCTTAAGATTAAATTTCTTGAAAAGTTTACAAGGAGGATTTTTGTATACACCTCCAAAAATTACATTTTTTAAGAAAGACATAATCACAACTGATCAAAGTAATATTTTAGAGTCTTACAATAGTATTAACATAGAAGAACAAAATTTTAATTACTATAATATGGAAGAATTAGAAGAAATAATTGAAGAAAGGGATAGATGAAAAAAATAATTTAGAATATGATGATATAATATTTGACCATGAGTAACCAATTGTAGGAGAAATAGAGCCTTTAGAAATTATGCAAATGGATAAACCAAAGACTTTAAAAGAATTATTACAATTAGCTTAACAAACTAGAATTATAAGAGAAGATCTCAATTACATTGGAATAAGAATAAGATATTAGCAAAATTAGACATTATTAATCCATACTCAACAATTAAAACAGCAGATATGCCATGTAACTTGTTAGACAAGCAAAATTTTTAACAACAAATAAAAGAACTTCTAAACATAGTAATTTGACCTTCAAAATCTAGGCATAGATCAACAGCCTTTGTAGTCAGAAAACACTCAGAGCTTAAGAGAGGTAAAGCTAGAATAGTGTATAATTATAAGAGATGAAATGATAATACCTATGAAGATAGTTATAAATTACCAAATAAAGATGAACTAATTATGAATAAAATTGAAGAAAGTAAATATTCTTGTAAATTAGATTGTAAATCAAGATTTTGTGAAATTAGACTACCAGAATAATCAATTCAATAGACAACATTCACTTGTACATAAGCATATTTTGAATGGCTTGTTAGGCCATTT